ACTAAGCATTTCATCATGAATAGAAATCATACCTCGCACCAAACTAGCTGACCTCTCAGCCTCTTGCTGAGTCACTGCATATACTCGGGCAACTGGAGGTGGGAGAGGTAGAGATGGTTCCTCAACCACAATAGGAGCCGGAGTGGCCTGAATAGTAGAAACCTGTCCCCCATTAAAGGGGCAGTCCCTAATAAAATGCCCAGGTTGGCCACATTTGTAACACAATCTTTGCTCTTTTCTGCAAACCCCAGCATGAACTTTACCACATGTAGCACATAGAGAAGCAGGCTTAATATTTCCAGGCTTAGAATTTCCCGCCTTTTTGAACTTACCATCAGACTGTCTAACCTGCAACCCTTTTCCTTTAGAATTCCCAGAAGTGTTTTTAGGACCAGAATTAGGAGCAGATTGGTCCTTATGCTTCCTTCTGTAATATTCTTGGATATTTTTACACTTTTTAACAAGTGCAGCAAAAGTATCAAATGAGTCACCTGCAAGTTTTTCAGAGATGTTATCATGTAATCCTCTATGAAATTTAAAAATCAAGTCATCCTCTGTAGGTGGAGCTCTCTGGAAATGAGAGTATTTGGCCAGCTTATTGAACTTATTCAAGTATTCATCAATAGACATCTGACCCTGCTTTAGTTCTTCAAATTCACCCTTCTTCCTTATCCGGGCTTCAGCCGGAAAGTATTTCAGCAAGAATTGCCTTTCAAATAAAGGCCAGGTAATAGCATAACCCTGACATTCCAAGGGCAGACGGGTATTTCTCCACCAATCAGCTGCATCATTCTGCAACATATAAGAAGCATACAACAATTTCTGCTGATCATCACACTCCATGACAGTAAAAATGCGATCCAATTCTTCTAACCACTGAATTGCAGCAATAGGATCAATGCCTCCTTTATAATTTGGTGGTGCATGTTTTCGGAAGGCATTTAGCATTCTTTCTCTTCGCTCTCTATTAGTGGCTGGCTGTGCCACACCACCCCTGTGACTAGATTCTTCATTCACATCATTATTTCCTTCACCCTCCACAACAATGGGATTATGAGGAGGAGGAACAGGCTGTTGTGGTTGTGGCTCAGGCTGTGGCTGTTGCAAAGGCTGTGGTTGTGGACCTTGCCCACCCGCCCTCACCTCAACCAAGAGTAATCTCATCATTTCAATATTCGCCATTCTGCTTGCTGCCATCATTTCTTGATTGGCCAACCTATTAGCCTCTAACAGATCTTGATTTGCTTTCATCATCACTTCTAGCTCTCGCTGCCTAGCTGCAGCCATATTTTGTTGCATCTCAGTTAATGCCATTATCATTGGATCTGGCTGTGAAGTATTTCCCCGCGGGTTAAGTCGGGGTCTTGCCAAATCTGCCAATATTGGATCGGTCGGGTCAATAGGAGGATCAGAAGTCCTTCTTGGGCGAACCATAATTCTGCATATTTCACACAAAGGAATGAGTTAGCTACGCTCACACTCGGTGATCAGACATGCATATCATAGTATTCCAAGAAAAACTCAAGAATATAACAACCCGAACAGTTCATGCAATATTTCACAGGCTCTTCTAGAGAAACTGCTCTGATACCATAAATGTAACATCCCCGTCTCGAGCCGGTTCAATTAACATACATATGATACAAACAGAAACAGCGGAAGACTTAACTTACAAAAATATGAGCTAACTTTTTTTTTTTTCTAACTTAATTCTTACTCGGCGTAAACGGAAATCGGGCAGAGTTTCCTCTATAAATCGGACAACTGGGGATTTTCCAATCCCACTCAGAAGCATTTCCTGATAAACAGTTTATACAACATATCAATTCAGAAATACCAGATATCCAAATATAATCAAATACCCATACATGGGCGCATGCATAACATGGCTCCGTGCCACTAAATCTAACAGCATGCCATCAAAACATAAACCTATCTGAATACTACATCATCATATAACGTTCCTGAATACTCAAATGTACATGCATCAAACTGATAGACATGTACAAAACATATACAGGCCATATACAAAATAAAGGATCAATATCATGATCCATCAAATGCGAAAATACTAGAATACATCAAACACTCCAAAAAGGTAGTAGCCTACAGCCACTCAAAATCCGGTCTGTCAACTGCCTCAGCCACGTGTCGTGTCCCTGCCTAGTGAGGACTCACCGGAAATCTGGGCCCCTGAAAATGTGTCCCCAAAGAGGGGTGAGATTACAAATCTCAATAAGCTCCAGGTTTATAGAGAATTCTCCATACCCCTGGCTCACTCCTGCATGAAAGTCAGATACAGAGTATACAAATACAACATATAACAGATATCATAACAGAACAGAGCATATATCCATATCATATCAGAGATGTGCGCCGTCATTCCCAAGGGAGGACCCCAAGCGGAAATCAACGCACGTGTTCCCGAGGGAGGACCCCAAAGCGGAACCAGACATATCAGAGGAGTACACCATCAGTCCCGAGGGAGGACCCCAAAGCGGACGTCCGGGTACTATACAATCAATGGCCAGAGATTGTTTCAGAAATCAAATTACAGAAGTCACATCAGAGCAAAACATATCATGTTATCAAATAACTCTATATGAATGCATCTATACAAAGCATCTAAATCACAGTCATACAGTCCAACCATAGTTCACTAACCATGGTGGAGCACTCAAGCAGGAAAAGACTCCTTAAACATAGAGCTTACCTCTTGAAGCTTTACCAATACGCTTACTTGTGGAACAAGTTACTTTTATCGCTTCAAGAGATTTCCGATCCTTCTCAATCCCTAGGCACACCTAGAGAATAATTTACAATGCATCAATAAAATGATGCAATACCATAATTATTTCATAAGCATACATTTTATCGCTTATTTTCCTTTCTTTGCATTTTTGCCAATCCTATGCCAATACACAAGTCTAGACCTCTTTATAACCGTTGGCGTTCTTTAATTTAATCAACCATTCCCTTAGGAATTTTCAACATAAATCATGCTATTTTTCTTCAAAACTCATCACCTTTATACAATTTGTTACAACACATTTTATTTACAATAAAATGTACAAAATATGTCCCTAAATACCCTATAGGTCGAATCCTACAAGGGGAATTTCCAAAGATCCTTCTCTTTTACAATGCATTTTCGTTACTTCATTACAACTTGCAAACACCTAGGAATGCTTCCAGTAAATTCCTATTTTGAGTTTAGACACCAAGTCCTTTTTACTTAGGCATTCTTACTAACTCATCCATTTTCACTCATTTCCAACACACTATACCTTCACAATACATAATATAATTTTTTCCACAATAACTCCTACTCACTCCATGATGGCCGAAACCTAGGAGGAATATGCAATAGGACTTTTAAATTTTTATATCACATGTGGATGCTTACTCAACACTATAACTTCCTAAACAACAATAATCCATCATAAATTTCACATTCTAACATCAATTATTTCCCAACAAAATATGCTCATCAATTTCATAACTTAAATCATCAAAATAATATCATGGAAATAGAGGTTTCTTACCTCTAAACACTTGTACAAAGCCTAGAGAGCAATCTCCAAGCCAAGCTCCATCCAAAAACTCACTTTTTCTCCTCCAATGAATAGTAACTCGAAAATGAGAGGAGGAATAACTCTTCACACACTCAACTATAGCTCAAATGGATAGGTGGAATGGATTCATTGAGTGGTTTCCAATCAATTTCATGTGGTGGGTCATTGGATTTGGTGGATGAATGATGAAGAAATCAAAGAAGGAAAATTTGAAACCCTAGCCCCTTCCCCTCCATGTGCAGCTCGGCCATGCAAGAGAGAGAAGAAGAAAATCTGAAATGAATAGTGTTTCATTTAAGTGACAAGGCTATATAGGCACATGTGGCCATTTTCATCGGATGTTTTTTTATCGCGTATTTTAACTTAAATTGACCCGGAACTAACTCAAAGCTACAAACATATTTTTTTTTTTCCTAAAATCATTTACATTAATTTTTTATTTCCTAAGGAACAATATTCATAATTCACAGTATGGTTTTTGCACCGCTTTTGACGAAATGCACTGTGCATCACTAATTGTACTTCCTTTACTTACGAAACTTAAAACTTATAAACTTATCATTTTCTTGGGCCTATATTGACTTGCTTGGCATATATTGGACTTTCTTATTCTTATTTCATCAATTATTTATTTCTGGACTCTACCGGTTGCTTAAACAGCAGTACAAAATACCCGGTAGAAACACTATTCACGAGATTTTCACGGAAAGTGCCAGACTATACAATTTTTCGTTCTGAACTCATATTTGTCATCAGAATTTTCAAATTATGTTCCTAAAATTATTTTGCTCATTTTAAGCTCTACCGGTTAATTCACAAAACTGTAAATTCTCCGGCAGAACGCACTGTTCATAACATAGTCATGATTACAGTCAAAATACTCGAAATCGCTCACTGAATCTAATTATGGCATTTAAATCCTTAAATTAAATCTCTAACTAAGATTTACCAGTTAGGGTCATTATAGTTTGCACACAGAGATGGATAGCAGGCAGCAGAGACAGAGATCAGTAGCTGAGATAAAATGTGTTGCGAGATCAGTAGTCTTTGGAAGGCGAACTGGCGAAGTGAGAGAGAAAAGGATAGAAGTGCGTTGCGCCGCGGAGAGTGAAAAAGAGGGGAGATAAAACCCTAACATTTACTTTTTATACCATGATATAAAATGACCACAATAACCTTATAAATTAGTGGGTCAGCAAGTTTACGGGTTGACCCGTAACCCGACACGAATTTTTTCGTGTTGTTTTTCTTCAACCCGAACACGACCGATTTTTTAAACGGGTTGACCCGAACAAGAAAATTTCGTGTCGGGTCCGGGTCGGGTTGACAGGTCGTGTCATAAATTGCCACCCCTAGAGGAGGTGCAGTATTTCCTCTGATTCTTTGTCACTCTTTACTCACAACCGCGAGTTAAGGAAGGACACAAGGGAGAGCAAGGATTGCGTCTCTTTCTCAATCATCCCAGCTCCAAACCGTGGACGCATAGAAGGATAGCAGAAGCTCTTTGCACACTCATTTCCCTCTTCACCTTGTTCGGCAGAGGAGCAACCTTGAGGAGGTGAGATTAAGTTTTCGTGGCCCTTTTGTTCCTCCTCACTTGGACTGTTTCTGATTAAGTTTCCCATTTTCTTGAAATGCCTCTGTCTTGAATGAGTCGCCCCAACCTTTGCATGCAACGAGAGTTGATTTCTTTGGGCTTAGGAGAGTGCAGTTTCTAATTAATCTTGGAAGCATGATGGAAGGTAAGAACTCGACCCTGTAATTGCTATTTGTCCATTCGAATTGCATGTGTAGTTAAGAAAATAATTCTTAGTATTCCTACTTCTTTCCTCATCATTCGGTTCCCTCACGTGTGACAAGGAGAATATTTTATTTTAGTGAATTCTCTGCTTTAATTCTGCCCCTTGAATTGCCTTGGAGTTGATGCATGTAAATTCCAAACTGAACGTTGTGAACTTGGAGTAGCCATTTAAATTGCTAGACTGCTTTTTGTTAGAAAGATCATTATACAGCCGTATGTTTTAATTCTGTTTAAACAACCTTGAAATTGGTATTGTAAGTCGAAATTGATGTTAGGGAACTTGGAAAAACAACCCCTTAATATTATTAGAATCGGTTCTTGGGTTATTGAAACTGGTTAAACATTGCCGTCCTAAGACTGTATGTGTAGCTTGCTTAAGACCTTGTTCCACAACCATAAGCATGATAGGAAATGTTATGAAAATAAATTAATTTTGTGCATATGATATCTAGTCAAAACTGAATCCTCATAGTGTAGGCCACATTGGGACTTTGTATTTGCTAGTAATTGAACTAGTGTTTTGCCAAACATTGTATGTGATAATAATGCCCTATATAAACAGCCTGCTTTATGTCCCCTTGAAGCGCACCCTAGTCCTGTAAGAAACAACATGTATATGACCTATTTGTTCATGCTTAAGTCAAGTGGGTGGTGTTTGTTAATAGAAAGTGAATGCACTAAAGAAGGGCCTAAAAACCGTACATGTTGGATATAGAGGAACCTTTGGTTTGTTTATGACTAAACCTATAAGAAATTAAGCTAAATCAGAAAAAGATTTGAACAATTAAGTTAGAGAGTAAATCGGTACTTGGAAACATGAAAGAGGTAGCTTAAAATCAGAAAAGGAACTTGGTACGGGAAGTATAAATTCTGAATGGAATCTTGTGTTTTGTAATAAATGGAAGTAAAGAAAATCTGTTTGGTATTTTGATTAGGTTCATAAACCTCAAGGATGCCGGATGGACTTGGGGGCTGTTTTGATTAAAAATGTTAAAGACTTGAGGTATGTGTTTGGTAGTGAGACCTACTGTGACTATTAGCTAGTGTATGGAATTTTGAACTGATGCTCACATGTGCCTTATAATTAGTATTCTGCTATATGTTATATTAAATTAACATGAATTCATGAATCGGTTAGTATAAAAAGTATGTTAAGACCGATTTAAAATACAAGAATTTGAGAGGCATGGAATTGTTTATAAATAGTAGGATAGTATGAATAAAATTCTTATTTGTTGTGCACTTGATTAGGTGCACATAACTCTTAAAGTGTAGGCTGATTTTGGTGCTGCCTTGGGTTGAAAATTGGACACACCAAGGTAAGTGTTTGGTGGTGAGACCTATTGTGACTATTAGCTAGTGTATTAAATTGTGAATTGTTGCTCACATGTGCCTTGGATTCGTATTCTGTTATATGTTATATGTATTCTAACTTGAACTTGACATGATGGAAAATTCTTCTTTGGGAAGCAGTTGTTATTCGGCAGCTTGGTGTTAAAAATACATGAAATATATGCTATTATGATGATGATCTAGTCATGCATATGTACATCATATTTCATTTGTTTCTTTTTGTGTATGCGAAGCATATCATGGCATACAGCATTGTGCATCCAGTTTGGAAACCGAAGTATATAATATAAGTAAGCATATGATTGAGCACGCATCATATAGGCATCCCTCTGGTACCAGGGTATGGGACACTTGGCTTCAGTCTGCATAGGTCACAGATGGAATTCATCTTTGATGGAGCCAATATGGAATCTCCACTGTGTATGTTAGTACGTGCACTGCAGTGCTATGAACGTACATTACCATGGCGTTATATACGCACTCTGATTAGTATTATGGCGTTATATACACATCATGACTAGTACTTTAGCGTTATCTACGCACTATGATGATATGCTAGCATTCGTCCGGAAAATTATATGTTGATGCGACTGTTTGGAATTTTGTACATAGTCTAATAGTGTTGATTTACTGGTTTTATTATCACATTACTGGGATTTTTCTCACCCCTTTTGGGGCTCAATTTTTTTAAAATTGCAGGAGGACGAAAAAGCATATGATGACGTTGTTATTTTGGATATTTGCTGTTGACTGCTGCTGTTTGGACTTTCTGTTGTTGGCTGCTTTGTCTATTTGATGTTTGCTGATTATATTCTAATGATGTAATATTTTGGAAGGATGGGCTACTGTTGGAACATGTTTTAAATTACTGTTTTTTAAGATTTTATGGTCAGCTAGTATTTTGAAAGACTCGGTTTACGTTTTGCGAAAAACAATTTATGAACGTTGTAAATATTGTTTTAAAAACTGGTTTAGCGAGCACTTTGCGAGTTATGTTTCATGGGGCTACAAACCTCCGATTCGCTTATAATTTATATGCACGCGAAGCCCCACGTGTCTAGTTTCAGATTATATAAACTTTACAATGAAATTATGAAAGCTAGGTTTATTATGATTTTTACAAGTCAGACAGGTTTTTCAGGAAAATTATTATTTCAGCAAACCATGTATTTTGTAAAGTTCCACTCTGATTTTCGTAAGCAACCAGATTTCAAATTAAGAGTTTGATTAGCTACTTAAAAATGCGTCTTCAGTATTTAAGCAATGACGTTAGAACTCTAATCCGCTTAGCAGACATCTCCCTTGGATGCATACATGGGAGGGTGTCACAAAACCAATCAATTAGATTGAGTGGAAACAAATCAATTGGATTGATTGACCAAGATTAAGGAAACCAAGTAATTAGATTAATTGGCTGAAATTTGGGAAACCAATCAGTTGGATTGATTGGGTAAAATTAAGGAAACCAATTAATTAAATTAATTGGCTGAAATTGGAGAAACCAATCAATCAGATTGATTGGATAAAATTAAGGAAATTACCCAATAAGATTGGGATTTGATGAGGGCGCTGATTTGACCTAGTCTTAGGTTAATGAGTCGCCACATCTATATATGACCCCTCTTCTTTCTTAGTTTTGTATCTCTTATTCATCTTTAATTTTTCCCACTGAAACCTTAGCCAACACACACATCAGTGTGGCTGCTATCTCTCTCTTGGAATAACCAAAGGCACTACCCAATCTCTATTCTTCTCTTGAGTCTAGCAACCTCCATTGAAGGATATTGGGCATTCGAAGAAGGGTTCTTCTCTTACAAGACAACAAGGTGGTGTGGATTTCCATCGGAGGACTTGTGTTCTTCAAGTCTGAAGAATTGATCAAGAACGCATTTGATCAAGAATAATAATCCGAATAAAGGTATCTACTTTAAACCCTAACATGTCTATTGCATGATTCATGGATTAAACATGATTAAGGGTGGGCAAAGGTTGCTTCTTCCGCATAAAAAAATTTAATTTTTCCCTCTTTCATGTTTATGGCCTACAAAGGCAACTTACAAGTGGTATCACAACTTGTTGCTTTACTATCGACAAGTTAAGGTACTTTTGTTCGGTTAAAAATTCGATTTTTACATTTTGGTTCATTAAAGACTTGATCTTTGATGTTTTAATCAGTTAAAAATGTGACCTTCATGTTTTGGTTGGTTAAAAATTTGATCTTTGACTTTTTAATCGATTAAAAATGTGGACTTTACATTTTGTTGGTTAAAGATATGATCTTTGACATTTTGATCAAATAAAGATTTGATCTTTAATTTTTTATTCGGTAAAAATATGATCTTTGCATAAAATTTTGATTTTTTGGATATGTTAAAAGTTAATATGTCCATGTAAAAGCATAGAACATATTTAGTATATTTTTGCGCCTGTATGTAAATTGCAATAAGACATCTACTGAAATACCTCATTATATAAATAAAGTGTGTATCTAAATCACGGTATTACATCTCGTAATCCGGACAATATCCTGATACATTATTCCAACTCCAAAAGACTCAAGACATAATCAAGACATAACAATACTATATGTCATGGACAATCCCCATGCTCACCAAATAAACATAGTAAACAACCAGTCTCAACATAAAACTCCATAAACATAACTGAAGCTATAAGCATATAAGCAGCATGCATAACCAGCATCCAATCATGACAGCATAATATAACAGCAATCTAACTCAGCTCCGGCCTCCTGCCGCCTGAGGTCTCAACATTACCTGACCCTGAAATAAGCATTCCCCAAACGTGGGGTGAGATCTCTAAACAAGAAATCTCAGTAAGACAAGGGGTCCTCAAGGATCTTCCACCCCAAGCTCACTTACATGTGCAATATGAGTTCTAAAAGCATTTATATCATTATCAGTTCCAAAACTATATAGTGCAACAGATATCTATGGCATGTGTGTCTATCACTATCTACTGGCCAGAGAAATGTAGGAATACATCAATTCCCTACATGTAGTACAAGGAACACCGCTTGCACCTCACCCACAGCCTCACCATCTTGTATGTTCTACATACTCGGGCTTACTGTATAGGTGGAACACCTCCATGCATATCAACAAGGCACTAACATACAATAGCTCAACAGCATTTCCAAAACATCAAAAGCATGTAACACAGCATGCATATAACCATACCCCCATGGGACATGGTGGAACCACAACATGGCTAAACCGAGGACACGAAAGCTTACCTCTAAGCTAGCTATCCAATGCCACAAGCTCAAAGTCCAATCACAGCAGATCACAATCTGATATGGACCAAATATAAATCAATAAACATGTACCACATGCATAGAAATTAAAGACAACGCCTTTTCATTACGTTTTATGTCTTAAAGCTTCTAACAAAGCCACAAGCCCTTAATCACATGATTCTGGCTTAGTCCATTAATCACAAAAGTTCAACTTCATCAATCTAGGGTCCACAAACCCCCCAATAGCCTACTATACACACAGCACAGCTACTGTTCTGCGAAACCCCAGAATATCCGGATATTCCTCGGGACCATATCCGGATATGCAATATCCGGATATCTCATGTCTATATCCGGATATGCAATATCCGGATATACAGATTCACATATCCGGATATCCAATATCCAGATATCCCAAAACCCCATATCCGGATATCATATCCGGATATCCAATATCTGGATATTCCACTGGCAGATATCCGGATATTTCACGACAGAATGCAGTTTCTGCATTTCATGAAGATATCCTTCAAGGTTGGGTTTTTACCGATTTTAAACACTTAAACATGCATTTCTAGGTGTGTTAAGCCTTACCCAACGACAAGTTATCATCTTTTAACCTTAACATGCATCAAGCTTCCATTTTTAAGCATAAAACTCAAGATCAAAGGGTGGTACAACATACCAAGGCTCAAAACTCAGAATGGAGATGCTCTTGGAGCTCAACACAGCCCCTCAAGTCTGACTCAAGGATGTGCACGAAAATGACAACATCAAGAGTAGGTTTTTCTTCACAAAGGTGACACTTTGAAGATCAAAATGTTAAGAATGAGACTCCCACCCTTCAAACACCAAACTCAGCAGTTCAAACCCCCTCACACAGGTTCTCTAACTCAGAAAAAGGCCAACAATGCAGTCCCAAAGCCAACCCTCACCCTCACCAAGTGTTTAAATGGAAGAACAAGCATCAAAGGTGATTACTTGATCAAGAAATGGAGAACGAAGCCTAAGAACACTATTTCTGGTCAGCCTCCAAGAAAAGCCACGCAACAAATCAGTTTTCTAGGGCTTTGTGCCCTTACAAAGGGTATATATAGCCAAAACTCATTAACACACAGTATTAACTTTAATTGCTACGCTTAGCATTTTAATCCCAAACTTTGGATTCTGAAACTACACATTTTTCCAAGAATTATCATATTTTTATTATATTTTTCTGAGCACCTTTCCGGTACGCGCTTTAAAGCCAGTATCGGTTTCTAGCACCAGTTCTCATAATTTGGACTTGAAACTCGTTTTACAAGTCCTACATATTATTCTAGTAATTATCATGCACTTACTTTAATTTTCCGAGATACTTTTTCGGTACGCGATTATACTAACTAGCAGAACCGGTATCTGCACTTTTCTTCCGAAAAGTGACTTTCAACATTCTTAATCACTTATCATAATTATTAAAGCCTCTTAATAATTATTAGGGTCAATTATGGAATCATTTCCTAATTTTGCATGATTAATTAATAAAATACCTTAATTAACGGTGCGGGTTCTTACACGTGTATGTCAAAGCAACTAGTATGCATGTCATAAAATCGTGTATGTATGTTTCTATTGTGCATGTCCAAAAGGGATTAGTATAGTATGTTGTAGATGTATGACATAGGGAAACGACTAGCATGATAGTACAATATGCGCGTTTGATGAGACTTGGTAAATCCCTAATAAAAGAAAGAGTAAACACATTTTTTAGTCCCTGTCAATATCTACGAAGTCCTTTTTAGTCCCAGGCAATAAAAAAGGATCAAATTGGTCCCTAAAATTACAAAAAAAGGGTCATGTTAGTCCTTATGTCAACTCCCAAATATGTAGAGTGACCCTTTTCTTGTACTTTCAGGGACCAATTTGATCCTTTTTTATTGCCAGCGACTGAAAAGGACTTCGTAGATATTGCCAGGGACTAAAAAGGGTGTTTACTCTAAAAGAAAAGGAACCCTTAAAAGGAACAATTATTAAGTGCATGATTGTCTCCCACCGTCGGTACAAATTGAATCCCTTTGACATGGTGGTGCTCTACAACTCAGTTGGGACGCACTGTTTCGTTGGGTAAGATGAATGCTTGAAGTGTAGAGACACTTAGGATGGTGGTTTGTGCTTGACCAGGTGCATAAGTTGCAGGCTCAGCCGAGCTTATATACTTGGGGCAATAGTGCCATGTTGGTTGCATGAGATGCACCACTAAATGACAAGGAGTTGTCAACCAGATGTTAAGAAAAGGTATGAGATACTGTTGATAATGATCAACTCATCGTTTAATTTGATCTTGCGGTCTCAAACGGGATTAAAGGAAACGGTCGTTCTCTTAACCCACTACGGAAATTCTTAAGAAGAATAGCCCTAGGTCACTAAGGAAAAGGGTCATTGACTTAGACAAAATAGTGAGAACTGGTGCCAGAACTGATACTGGCTATGGAAAAGCATGTACCGAAAAGGTGCTGCGAAAAATAAAATAAAAATATGACAAATCTTAGAAAAATGAGTAGGTTCAGAATCCTAAGTTTGGGATTAAAATGCTAAGCGTAGCATTTAGCGCTAATACAGATCGATTAAGACTTAAGTGGCCTATATAAGGCCATGGCACACATTTCTAGGTCAGATTTTGTGCCTCCTACGTGAAATT